AATGATTAGAAGTGCCTGGTGTGTAGGCAACAGGCGGCCGGTCAGAAGACCCCATGTAAAATAAACGGTTGTGAGATATTTAGGCTTCTTTTTGTTAGTTTAGTTTGCGGTGTGGCCGACGTAGGTAGTGTCTAGATCTTCGTTCTTCCGAGCGCGGAAAAGCCGATCATATGAATGTTGGATGATAATACAGGGAATATTTTTCGGGGTGTATACCGAGCCCCGGTGTTTTTTCTGTTTTCGATGTTGGATATTTTGTGTGTAATTGGTCAACACTCAAGCGCGTGTCCTTTTATAGTCGTGTACCTGAAGAAGGCGCGGCAGGGGGGGGGGGGGGGGGGGCTGTTGTTTCCGATGGGTACACCTATACCTGATTTACGTCTTTTTTTTAGGGGGATGGGAAGGAATGGGATGGGATGGGATGGGATGGGATGGGATCGACGACGCAAGAAGGTAGACAGGGATGACCCGTAGTTAGAGGCTTCTTGAGTCGACTTGGAAGGTGTCTGTCTGCCGATTCGTTTGCCAGTGGCGGTATGTTGACGAAATTCAACGTGCCGGTGCCTGGTGTATTTTTCTGGGGGGTGGGTGCCGTTGTTGTTGCCGCCTTTCGGCCGGAGATTGAGGAGGATGAGGATGGTCAAGGGTTTCCTGCGGGCGGGAACGTGTACACGCGGTACGACTAGTTCATGTAAGGGGTAGGATGCGGGTCGTCGTTGTTTACGCTACGTTGGCCTTTCTTTCGTTCGTTCGTGGGTGCGCACTTGATGAAAAGGTGTTTTGTGTCGTGCGTAGGCAACACTGGGGGGTGGATTGGGGACACACACACACTATGTCGTCACCGCATCGTGCAAAAGAAAAGAGAGGAGTGTGTTCCTTGTAAGAGGGCGATTTGGCGAGGCAGAGCGCGATGCAAGGAACGATGGCAACGAACATGAGGTTCCGCGTGTGGTAATCAAACATAATAATGATGGTGTGCCAGACTTTGCTTGCTACTAATAGCTGCCCTCATAGGGGGGTGGGTGGGTGGAAAGAGGAACGGATGAGACGCTGATACGGGTTGGCTGTACGGTCTCGCGCATGTGCGCCAAGTTTCATCTTTCCCGTCATCTACACTGTAGACAGCGCGCACGAACGAGAGCATGCTTCGTTTTTGGCCGTTCGTTGTGTTGCTGCAGTAGTAAGTAGTGTTTGTTGTGTTGCCCGATAGATACATTCGTAGCTGTAGTAAGTAGTGTTCGTTTGACTGAGACGACGGTTTTTGAGAAAGGGGCTGAATGTCTTCCTTCTATTCTACGGGGGTTCATTTGAACTTAATGGCGAAAGAATAAACCGCGTGGATCATGGCAAGAACAACGAGTAAGTGAAGTTGGATAACTGTTATGCATCGGTGTGGTGAGAAGAACGCCTTTGGCACCGGGCAAGTTGGTTGGAGCGTTTTTCGGTCCGCTTGCCAGGGCCCTGGACTTCCGCATGGTGCAAGACCGTCCGTTCTTTAGCTTGCACGTGCTAGTCTTTAGCAAGAGTCCCATGGGTAAATAAAGAAAACAGTGGGGGACATCGGGAGGTGAAGTACGATTTCACCTTGCGTGGAACAAGAACGATGTCTGTCTGTCCTATGACAACATCTGTTAACCGACTCAGTTTGAACTTCGGGAAGGGGGCTCAAGGCATCAGCACGACGATGATGCGTAGCAAAGCCGCAGTCAAAGAGAAGGCTACAAGATAAGAATGAACGATTCTTGACTCAATAACCGCGTCGACAAGATGTGGCAACTGACATGACGGCATGTAAAAAAAACTTTACACTCCACACGCCCCAACGCTTGCATTCAATCGGAGGAGCGAGTGCTGCGCTACCATGTAGGAGTCCCGCCGCCCTTACCCGCAACCATCCACCAACCAACCGATTCATGAACCAATCAAATCAACCAATCAAGCGGAGGCGGCGCGACCGGCCTTGAGGGCCTTGCAGGTGCCTGCGAAGAAGGAGCCCTGGTACTTGGCGACACCTGTTGAGGAAAGGAGCACGGGCGGGCATCGATCCAACGAATGAGGCGTCGTCATCGGTGGGAAAGGAACACGCCAAGGAGGCACAAGGCAAGGAACGGGGTGGCGCGAAGGGCAGAATACACAGAGGTGGTGGGGGGGAGAAAGGGGGGGGGGGGGGGGATGTACTCATAGTCGTGCATG